AAAAAAAAAAAAAAGAAAAAAGAAATGTACTCGTTATCTTGCCCATGTAATTGTAACTCCTCTGTACTGTATTCTCACACAAAAAAAAATTTAAAAATTAAATAAAATAAAATAACCAAAAAAATAAAAACCAACTCAGGAAGGATATGTATCAAGTTAAACAGTAGTGACCTCAGTAGTAAGGATAGTGAAGGAGGGATTGATTCTCATGTCCACTTTAGTTCTTCTGATGATTAGAATTTTTATAAGCATGTATTATGTTTACCATAAGACTTGTTTCTTTTGGTACTGGGACTTGAACTCTGGGCCTCACTCTCTCCCTTGCATTTTTCACTCATAGATGTCACTTGAGCCACACTTCTACTTACAGCTTTTTGCTGGCTTGAAATAAGAGAGTCTCTGAGATTTGTCTTCCCTAGTGGCAGTATACTGCAATTCTGTTTTTTTTTTTTTTGGTAGCTGTAATTACAGGCATAAGCCACTGGCATCTGGCATGCAAATAATTTTTAATTAAAATATTATATACAGTAATGAAGTAGAAGATAAACAGTTCATTTTATGTATCTATAGATTCCATTTTTATATCCAACCTATTACAGATCAAAGATAGCTAGTGGGTCATGCTTGTCATCTTAGTGACTTAGGAGGCTGAGATCTAAGGACTACGATTCTAAGCCATCCTGGTTAAGAAAGTCTATGAGTCTTTTATCTCCAATTAAATATGAGAAAACCAGAAGTAGAGCTGTGGCTCAAAGTGGTAGAGTGCTGGCCTTGAGCAAAATTGCTCAGAGATCGTGTGCAGGCCCTGAGTTCAAGCCCCATGACTAACAAAAAAATGTCATCCATAACATGTACAGACATTTCTTGTCCCTCCCTAAATTGTAAAGTATAATAAGTATTTGTACAGTGATTACATTGCATTAAGTATTATAAATATTCTAGAGGAAGTGCAAGGTCATGCTGGGTTTGTAGGTCATATTCAAATAACTACACCATTTTATATGGTGGACTTGTATATCTGAAGATTTTGGTATCCATGGGACCTGGAACCTAGTCTGCTACATATATTAAGAGATAACTATGCATCTCTCTTCCCACACCAGTGAGTGGTCTTTTCAAGTCATTATTTGCCTTTTGTGTGTAAACCATTAGACAGTTTTTCTTTTTCTACTGTTCACAGTGACCTGCTGATGGAGAACACTACTCCACTTACTGTCCCAATCCTGGATGTTCTTTCCAGCCTCCGACTTGACACAAATTTTCTGTCTAAGGTAGGAAAGACTGCTTTCCAGAAATGGCACACACTTTTCTGACCTTTTTCTTTTCTTTTTTTTTTTTTTTTTTTTGTCTGTCATAGGGCTTGAACTCTCGGCCTGGGCGCTGTCC